TATGAACTAAAACTAAATAAATTAATACATAAAAAATATTTTATTTAATTTTTATAATTATATTATTTGTATAATTATAGATTATTGTATTACTTATTATTTAATAAATTTAGTTTTTATTTTATTCTTTATTATTTAAATAAATAAATAATATTATGTCATTTAATATAATTATTTATTAATATAATAAATAAATAAAAAATAAACAATATATTATTTAATATATCTATTGATATAATATATAATACTCATTTATTTCTTATAATATTTGCTATATTTATTTATGTAGTAAATATTTATTTAATATATAATAAAATTAACTAAAATTTAATAAGGTAAATTAGTATAAAAAACATTACTAATGATACTAAACGATTAATTATACAACATGATTAAATAATATAATATTATTTATTGATTTAGTTAATTAACTAATTTTTATTTCGTAATCAATAAATATTTTATAAATAAATTATGGATAAATATTATAATTAAAAGTAGTATAAATTGAAATATATATATATATATATATGGGATAAAAGGTTCTGAAATAATATAAGAGAAGTCAAATATTTAACACAACATGTCTTAGGTCAAGTGGCTCATAGTGTTTTTGAAAAGTCACAAACTTGGGTTCGAGTCTCCTTTCCTACACTTCGATTTTAAATTTTTCCACATCTATACTTATATTAAACGGTATATCATTTATTAGATTTAGTATAAAGAAAAGTCAACAACATTTATTGCATTACTATTTCCGTATTACTAGTAAGTAACCCGTGCGATGCACGGACTGTATTTATTTTGGAGAATATTATAAATTAAAATGTACTAATAAATAAAAGAGCGATAATTCTTAGGGAAATTATCAAATTATAAAATGATACTCATGAAAAAAAATAATATATTATTTCTCCTTGTACACAACATTATTTGTTTGATAACTGGACAACTCGTCGTCCCACAAACTAATATTTTCAACTCTTTTCTTTTACTTACACGCGAAACAAACGACATATAATTGTATGTGACTAAAAATTGATTTCTTTAAGAACATACCAACGTACGATAAAGGCTGACATTGACTCTTCTTTATCTATTGACTAAGAACTGATTTTTTTAAAATCATGTCAATGCACGACTCTTATCTTTTACTTACACGCGAAACAACGACATATAATTGATAGTGCGTGACTAAGAACCGATTTCTTTAGGAACATGTCAACAGATTGACCTCAACTCTTAAATGGAACCCTAAGACTAAAAGGAACTGGTGCCGCTGGAACTTATATGGAATCCTAAGATAGACCTATTTATAATATGATAATTTACTTAGGCAGTTAGACAAATGAGCTGGTACTATATAATTCTAATGTCGACTATACTTGATTAGCTAAATAGTATTTACTAATACTTTTATACTTTTTTATACAAAAAGACTGACCTTGACTCTTAAATGAAATCCTAAAATCAAAAGGAACTGTTAATTGGAAGCTGATGAATCTATTTATAATATGATAATTTATCTAGCAGTTTGACAAAGGAGTTGTTAGTTTATCGTATTAATATCATACTTGATTAGCTAAATAATACTCAATAATATTTTTATACTTTTTTATCTTGTTTAAAAGAACATTAAACATGTATGTTTAAAATATTAAAAGCACCTAAAACGTTATATAACATATATAAGATTATCTAAAATATTCTATATTATTCTTAAAAAATGTGAGGTCATCTAAAATTTTTTAAAATTATTTTGAAAGTAAAACATGTCTACAAAAAAGTTCAACACACACATATATACACAACATGTTTAAAATATACAAAATATTCCATGTGAATAATATGCATTAAAGTCTAAAAAAATATTAGTAATCATATCTACAAAATTAGGCATGAAAATACTATTTGTTAATATGAAATTTGTATATTTAATTATACTAATGTTTTATTAATCGTGAAAGGCCTACGCTCATTAAATTGGCAAAGTTATATTAATATATCATTAAACTATTTGGTATCTTTTTTTTTTCAGCAGATTAACATTATTATATTATTAAATTATTAAATTCTATGAGCACACGGTTTTGTAAGGATACTGTTATGTTAAATTAAAAGGTATTTGACACGTAAATCCGGTTCTTAAAGGAATTTAAAACTGATTGTACTCTATTTTTGGGCAGATTTATATTAGTATACTAACATGTTTGATTCCATTAAAATCGGGAAATGCATACATAAACTATTAAATCAGTTGTTTCCATAAACTGATTACAATTAGTGTTTCAATATTTAAGATCCCGAATTGTCTAAAAATACTATAATTAGGATATAATTAATGCATAATGGTGGAAAAAGATTAATAAATTTGAGTTAAGTCTATTCTTATTTTATATATATCATATATATACATATATATATATATATATATATTTTAGCTATCGAATTTATTAGAGGAAACAAATAAAGAATAATTTTCTGTTAGGTTCTTTTATGTAGTGTATATCCAGTAGGATTTAAGATAATATGTTTGAATGGAAATAGTATTTTTAGAGTTTTCAACATACCAAACTCTTATTTTGATTAATATGTTTGAATGACAATTGGATTGTACGAATTTTAGAGTTGTCATCACACCAAACTCTTATTTTAAAAGATTGTTATAATTAGTATGTCAACATAGTTGACTCATTATTTTTTAAACGTTCTCACAGATTTATTGACCCCTTTTTTTTCAATATATATAGATAAATTCGATTTATTATAGAGGTTTCTAGAGAATTCATTAGAAAAATAATTCTGAACCCAATAGTTTGTTCTTGCATATTCATATGGTAGTGGTTCATATACAATTTTTCTTTCTTCTATCAAATATTATACCAATTGATATATTTCCCCAAATAATTGAAATTCTATTTCAAATCCATATCTTCAATTTTTGAAACTTAAAATGTTCTTCTATCAAACCCTCATCGAATCTACAAAATCCTTCTAATTAAATCCAGGAATTGTCCAATGTTTTGAATATCCCATTTATATTAAAAAAAAATACCACTCTACAAATTTAGCATGATGGTACTTCGATTCTGTTTACTGAATCACATAAAAATTTATCTGAACAAATTGATTTAATTGACAAATAAAACCAACCTAACATTAAAAAAGAAAACCACACCAAATTTATTGGTTTGCCTTGGCTTTTCGGTTTGCCGGTTAGCGCTCAGAATAAAACTTGGCAACTAACACTGTCATTACAAATGTAATATAGTAATATTGTAATGCCTGCTAAAGTCCAAACACACACATTAATGGTAGATAAATAATGCAACAAAAGGTCCCTTGATAGTTTTTAAGACTCCAGCACCAGTTTTGCAGTGCAAAAAAGCCCAAAAATTTAAAAAACAAATATTTAAGCCAAAAAAATTAAAAAACAAATATTAATTGCTCATTGAGGAAGAACAGGAGGAGCAATAGTCCGAGTATTATACGATCCGCAATGACTGCATTTCTGACCAATTATGTGGAAATAAACTTCCGTACATTGCAGTCGTTGCAAAGAATTCACATCTAAAGAAAAGAAAAAAAAAAAAGGAACACCAGAAAAATGGTTTTACATTTTTTCAGTGGAAGTAACAAAGAATGAAAAAAAAAATAAAAAAAAAAGTTGTAGATTTACAGTCACCTTCTTGTATCTGTATTCATCTGGCATCACAATTGCTTCAATCTGTGCAAAACATGACATTTATTTATCAAAAATCATAACCTTTTACAAACTGCAGCTATTGACTAAGATCAACCTTGTACGTGATTGTAAATCACATGAAAACATTTGAAATGAAATTTTAAAGAATACATCTAGTTTTTTTTTTCCTTGAAATATTTTACCTGAGTAATCCTGAATAACTACGATACAAACCAATGATCAAAAGACACAACATGAAAAGTATTATCATTGAAGCGAAAACTTAGTCAATAGCTAGCTAGCACAATATTTCCAATAAGAATGAAAAGAGTTGGAAATACTCCAAACTACCTCTTAGTCGCCTATTTATCACCAATCTTTTTTATCTTTACAGTGTGTGGCCTAAGTAGCTAAATACATTGGAACTGTTGAAGTTGAAAGTAAAACCTTCCACGAACATTTTCAAATCCCAAATACAGAGTGATAGAAATTTAAGCTCTTGGATTTGTACGTCATAGGCTAATAATAATAAAACAAAGACGCAAATTTCACATTTTCAGGAAAGACATTATTTAACCAGTTTTCCAGTCGCAAATTCCACAACTTATTAATAATCATAAGTTTAAAGTCCAAACCAATAGCGTTTACCTCTTCATCTATTCTCTTCCAAGTCCCCGTCATGTCCATGATCGACTTGGAACATATTGGACAACAATACCTGTAAATTTGCAAACAGTAACTACAAAAGAAAAAGAAAAAAAAAAGACTACAAAAAATACTTTGATTTTCTTGTTTGCTGTAAAATATTATTGTTGGGAGATTCATATTAGCTCATTACTTCTCACGCTTTATCAGCTCATAATAACATTCACAATGCATCGTGTGACCACATTTCATGACGGTTATATCCTTCAGAGAGTCGAACAAATACTGTAAAATGCAACAAATGCAGAGTGTTCAGACATGTAACAGTAACATTTTCGAGAGATAGTGAAAATAAGCAAAAGGTGAAACCTCGTAACAAATTGGGTAATGATGTCTCATTGAGTTCTCCACACAAAGGTGATTGTTGCGCAAACTAACTGAATAACATGAGCCTGTGTAATGAAAATTAAAGAGTAGCCAAAACGATGATGAACCACAATAGTTAAATTTATAAACAGAAAGCACACAGAAAAGTGTAATAGTCAAAACGATGATGAACCACAATAGTCAAAACAAAAATTTTGTTTCCATAAGCAATTTGCAGATCGAAAACATAAAATTAGTTCTCGGCCCAATTAAAAATAGAGGCAATAATCAAAATCCACCGACCCCTCTGAATTNGCCTAAAAAAAAAAAAAAAGTGGATCATCTATTCTTCACCTCTTCTAATCAGGGTTGTTTTTTTAGCCAGAGCGTTAAACTTGAGACGGTTAGCGCTAGCATGTAAATTAATTAATATATTATCTTGCTGGCACGTTTATACTAATATGAATTTGATTATACTATATTTATTTATTCTTTAAATCACTGAAACTTCTATAAGAGGAGACATCCTGGTGAAAATCATTAATGTACAGGTTTACATACTTACAAAGAAACTACTTACTCCATCATGTCTATCAAACATGTCAGGAAACAGCTTGATCCATGTTTCATCACCAAGCATCACCATTTTCCAGCCAATTCTACGAAACTGCGTTGTACCATGGATCAGAGATGCAAAAGTGAGAGGCCAACTGTTGACATAATCTTTTGTTCAGATGATAAGAAACAAATTTCTCATATAGAAACTAACCAATAAGGTTATCATCCAGAAATGCTTGCATGTTAAAATTGAATGCAATATCCAGGAATCCTCCAATAGCTCCAGACACCATAGCCTGCCCATAATCGTCAAATATGGTTCACTTCCCCAGTAAAGATTCCTCAGAAGATAAACAATGATGATTTAGTTTTACCTTCAGGCGGGGCATTGTAACAGTTGGAGGTGTAGCCTTAGCGCGATACCCAATTGCCAATCCTTTAGCCAATAATGACTGTGTGTAAGGCATAGCTTCTGTAAAAGCCTTACTTGGAGGCTCCCATCCATCCCAATCACAAATTCGGCTGGTAGGCCATCAATAACCTAAAGTGCGGTATTTTTTAGTTTTGCTAACTCTTTATGCCCAATTCTCATAAAGTTGCATTTTTTTCAGAAAATAATATCTTTTTCACTAACAAATCCAAACTTCATACCATAATTATTAATCTATCAAACAATGGAGGAACACCAGATAGCTCCTGCATCATTCGTCACTAAGCCATATAAGACTATGCCAGAAAACAGATTAACTATAGATATAAAATTGGCAGAACCATACTTCAAAAAACTAAAAAAAAAAAAAAAACTAAAAAAAAAAAAAAAATCATTCAACAAAAAATTCTTAGCTTGCCCATGTCATGAACCAGGAATATATGCAACAAAATTGTGCACCGGCACACAATTTCAAATAAATGCTGGCCTCGTATAAAGACTTGAGCTTTTCAGGAGGCAAAGTTGAGTTTTTTCGGGCGCCGTCAGTCGAATCAAAACCAGGAGGATAAAAACTCTCCAACCCACTACAAAAAAATGAGCATTACACACTGAAGAAGACTTTTTTGCAAAGAAATATGATGAAGAGTATTATTACCTCATGCCAGAAAAAGAAGGCTTCACCGGGAAAGAATCCCACAATAAAAAGCGAGAGGCCAATGATTTGGATCGTTACTGCTAAGACTGTGAAGAACTTCAAATTTCTGCTAGTCAGAGTACTATTTTTAATCTAAGCACAAATTCACACCTTTTTTCCCATAAAAAATATCACCAACCAACAAAATCTTCAAATTCAGCTAGGCACGAAACATAACACACCAAAAGAATTCCGAATTTCCAACACAACAAAACATTAAAGGGTGAGTATATGCTTCAAAAAAAATGTTTCAGTCTTACCCGATGTCGAGCCACACGGTCTTAGCAGTAGGGATGATGACGAACAACAATTCGCTGGTACTCGAAGCTGACTGAGTGGCTGAGGAGCACTGAGGCGGTGGTGTCGCTGCTCAATCGAAATCTTGCCAGAGTGCAATCTATCAAAATTAATTCGAGTTCTGAGAAAAATCTTTCATCGGAATTAACCTCTGAAAAAAAAATTGGAATTGCAGATTGTTATGCTAATTAATCAATTTCACCTCTGTAGGGGTGGTACGGATGATCTAGGACGAACACTGCTAATTGAATTTAACCTCTGTAGGGAAGGGCATGGTGTGGATGTGGTGAGTTCGTCGGCAGAAGGCGGTAAGATGCGGTGCGACGCTGCAGTGGTGAAGGATTCTGCTTCAAAAACTTGAAGATGTACATCTACTTCTGCACCATCCTCTTCACACTCTTCTTCTTTTCTACAACACCTTTCTTTTTGAGGTTTTACTTTTTTCTTCGCCAGAGCCGGATTTTTTTCTCGGCCTTGGGTGTCGTTGTTTTGAGAAAGGTGGGATATAGACATTTATCTTCACGTCAAAAGTGGGAAAGATTTTGTTAAGATATTATTCCTCAAATGGTTAACGGATTGATTTTGGTAAGATATTAAATTGATTTTGATAAGATTGTAAGCCACAATATAAGGAATCACAATTTTATTCAGCCGCAATATAAGGAACCAAAATTTCAAATTACATGGTTTTTAAAAGATTGCCATATTCAATAAGTCAACTTAGTTGACTGTGTTTTTTTTGTAACTTTCCTCATTTGATTTATTGACCTCTCTGTTTCAATGTATATAGATACAATCTATACTTATATAAAAGGACATTCTATTTACTACATTTACTATCCAGAAAAGTCAACTGCATTAAATGCCATTACTATTTTGGTATTATAATATTTTATTTATTTACTTGATTTATTTATTTGTTTTATTTTAAAAAGGTAAGTATAATAAAAAGATTTTAATAATAAAAAAATTAAATACCAAATAAAAATGTACACTTTGACTTATTTGATTATATTTGATATTTGAATATACCAAATATATTCCTATTTAATATATACATTAAATACTTACTAAAGTATTTATTTGCTTTATTTGTCAAAGTTAAGTATAGATTTGTTTATATTATCAAATCATAAAAAAATATTAAATCCATATTGTAAAAAAAAATCATATAATTTTATAACAATTCTACTACACTGTTTAACAATATAATTTTTTTATTATATAATAAAATAATAATTAAATATTATATGGTGAACAACAATAAGTAAAACTGTTACTTTCTCTTATATCAAGGAATAAATTTATATGTTAAAATTACATTTTTATTAGTATAAATAATTTAGTGAGATAATATATTAATTATTTTACAAGCTAGCCCTAACATGCTCATATTTAATGTTTTAAAAGATGTGGAAAAAAAAAACTTATAATAACTCTATTGTTTTTTAGACTTAAACGTTGATTAAAAGAAATAAAAATTCCTAATTTTTTAGACTTAAACGTTGATTAACACCATAGATTGAGAGTTTATATTTAGTGAAATTCCTAATTGTAATAAAAAAATCAATTTTTGCTATATTTTAGAATATCTTTAAATTCATTATTAAAAAAAAAACTATAATGAAAAAAGCATGTCAGCTATATATCGATTTGTTGTACTCCTCAAATCACATTCACAATTTGGCTACAAGGAAAGGAAACTCATTGATTAAAATATTTTTTTATCAGTAGTCTTAATGTACAAGAGACTTTAAGACTCCACTTGAATATTATAAAACTTTTATTGAACATTGTACAATTTTCTTACGTATTATAAACTTTTATTGAATATTGCATCTTATAATATAATATTCTCCAAATAAATATACCTCGTGCTTCGCACGGGTCACGTATTATATATATCCCGTACATTTTTCTTTATTCATGTATATAATTATAAGCCTGGATAAATAGCTTTAAAATTGTGCACCTCGTGCATCGCACGGGCTCTGTACTAGTAGTTCTAAAAGTGGCTATCGGGCAGGACCAAACTTAAAATGAGTGCCACTTACAAGTCGAAATCTCCAATTTTTCCTAAGTTGATACCTTACAACTCAGCAAAAAAGAAAAAAAAAAAAATACCTGTTATAGCCGGTGTGAGGACGATTTCTCACGATTTTTGGCACTTACGGGACGTTTTCCAAAAGTGGACATCGGAGAGTACTAAACCCCAATTTGAGTCCACTTACAGGACGAAATCTCCAATTTTTCCGCAAAATGAAACTTGCAAAACAACTCACATAAGTTTTTTAGAGGAAAAATTATAAACTATATAGTTCTAGTAATTTATATTCTTTATATTTATATGTTGATCATTGTTAATTTGATGATAACTATTTTAATGAAAGTGGATTTCCTAGAAGTATCCAGATTTTTATCACGTGACATGGTGTGTATTTGTGGTAACATTTCCAACCTACCAACGAATTGAATAAAGGAGGTTTTGTGAAAGGGGCAGAACTTTGTAATTCTGTAACCATAATAGAAAAGAAAAAAACAGCTTTACGTAGTTTCAGCATTGTATGCTATACATTGTACACAAACAAACAAACAAGAAGCCAGCCATTTTGAAATGTGTGGTTTAAAAGGAAATGTCAATTTCCATGGTTAATCAAGGAAAACAAAAGCTGCAAGATGAACTAACTTTGCATTCAATGCATTAACGTTTTTAGGGTTTGATACTCGACTGCTACAGGAAAGAGTGCAATAAATAGACAATGCCTAAAATGATCTCAGCCTTAGATTCAAATTATAAACACTAGATCAATGCCACCTAGCATTAGTGGATAATAATCCTCAACAAACTTGTACTATCCTGCTGATATGCCATTTTGTCTTTGCATGGAGGAATCTGTGGCTTGTTTCTTGTGCATGTCATCACCCACATAATCTGCACCAGTGGAGGAAGTAATCTGACGTGGCAAGGTGGAGGATACACCATTGACCGTGTTGACTGAGCTAGTTCTAATATGGTTGGACACTTGTCACTATACTATGGGTTTGTACAGTGAAGCCCTAGCTAGCGGTAAAAGTACTACTAAGGGGAATATGACGGGAATGGAATGACATTATCATTTTTATTATAAAAATAAATAAAAGTTTTTTTTTAAAAATAATATACTTTCAATAAATTATATATAAATGCGTTTTTAATAATATATAAAAATAAAATAATATATTTTTAATCATATATTTTGAATAATATATAAAAATAGAATAATATATTGTTTAATAATATAAAAAATAATATATTTTTAATATTATATAAAAATAAAATAATATATTTTTAAATTTATTAACTAATACAAATATATCATTACATAAACACATATAAGCATATGTGGCCGAATATAATTTTTTATATTTTTATAATTCAATTTATGAATAAATATATAATATATATGATGTATAACAATAAAATAATATTTCTTTAGTTTTATTTTTATATAAGTATTTAATATATTTAATTAAAAATAAATAAAAGTAAGATTTCAATTTTTTTATTTGATTTTTTTTAAAAAAAAAATTATTGAATATATTTTAATCATGATTTATAATATATATTATTTTTTTTATTATTTCTTAATTTTATTTTTTGAAAAATTGATTCCTGCACACATGGGAATGAAAAAACCTTACATTTATTATGGAATGACTAATCCGATGGAGATTGTTTTGACATTCCCATTGAAATGGTCATTCCTTCCCAAAAAATATACCAATCATGAGATAAGGAATGAGTAAGGGAATGATCATTTCATTCTCATGTCATTCCTTCCTGCCAATCATGCCATAAGGGCTAATGGTGTTTTTGTAAACTAAATAATTTGAGTGAATTAACTCAAAGTGAGTTTTTATTAGTTAACTGGGTTTAGTTTAGAAAAAGTAGTATAGTTTGTTGTAAGTGATATTTTAAGTTTATATTAAAATAATATTTAAAATAAAATAATTAAAATTGGTTTGATGTAAAAGTAGAAGATAGATGATATGAAGTGATTGTCAGTTAAAATTATATTAGTGAAATAATAGTGAATTAAAGTTGATATGATGTGTACAAATGATTAGTTGTTATTATTTAATGATTGATTGTTATTATTTAATTATATTGATAATATTGAGGATAGTGGGTTGAGTTAAAATTGAGTTAGATTTTGAGTATAAATTAATTTGGTTTGAGAATTTTCTTTTACAAAACCACAAAGCATGTAGACGAAGTTCATATTTCTATCGCACACCCCAAGTACATTAACTGCTACTTGACTCTTTCGATTTCTATATCTTCCCCTATCTTTCGACAGGACTCGAACGTTAATGTATGTACCATCTAGTACTCCTAGACACCCCTAACGAAAAAAAAATGTATTCGTTTGGAAGAAGTAGAGAAGAAAAAATTGACTAAGCGTTGTTAAGGGTCTTGTGTTGTAGGCTACCTTGAACCATTTCCACCGTTCATCGGAACAATCATCAACTGGCTTAGGTGTGGCGGGTAGAACGGTGTAAAGACAGATTACCGCATCAAGTACACAGTTAAAGTACTTGCTTACAGTTCTACCTGATCTGGTAAAATCAAACTTTAAGGTGACGTTCTTCTTGTGATGTGCGAGGATTGAAAGAAACATAGCAACTTGTTCACTCGGTGCAACGTTTCTAGATTGAACAAGACCCCCCAAATTTTCAAGGAGGAAACAAAGGCGACCAAAACAGTTTCTGTCCATACGGAGGTTCTCAAGGCAAGTGGTGTCGCTGACATCGACTAGCCTTTCCATGTGACTCACTTGAAAGGGCACTCTATCCCTCAATCAGTATGTTCGTCCGCTAGTCAACGAACATCGACGGCGGCGAGGGAGTATGAATTTGTGGTAGTAGTAATTTGCTACTATGAAAAATAACAAGCACCAAGAACAATCTCTTCCGAAAGAGTGAGAATTAGTAATTTGTCTCGCACATTATCCGTCTACAAAGATTGAAAAACATACAGACTTCACCCATTCATTAATCTTAATGTTGGCCTCTATGAACATTGTGAAAATACTAAACATCTCAAATGGTGTGAACATGAGCATGTAAAATACATTTATTTTTGTTAAACTTGGTTCATACTTTTTCAATGTGTTTGTCAACTCTGTGTAAGTAGTAGACATTATGGAGAAAGTAATTGTTCAATTATATTCAACAAAAATAGTATATATATATATATATATATATATATATATATTACAGGAATTAGAGAAAGAGAGTGCAAGGAGCAGAATTATGGCTCAATTTTATAGTGTCCGGACGAGAAGAATTTGTGGGATTTGATAACATATATTCGGACAAAATGATGAAAAATAAAGTAAAAGCAGGAGGAGACAGGAAATAATAATGTAAAGGTCAATTGTGCAATAAAGGGTCAAAAATAAATGAGGGGTTTGTTGAAACAGAATTAGAGAGATGCACTCTATATATAAAGAAATTATTTAATTAATACATGTAGACATAGTATAAAGTAAAATTAATTCAGGAACAGTAGGAAAAATTAAAACTTATTATTTAACTTAAAGTGGGCAGGGTATATCGAAATGTCGGTTCAATATTCTACTATTGGAATTATTGGG